ATCCAGGGTCACATCTCTTGAACTCAGAACTTCTCCAAGTTTATCTCGGTAATGGAGATCAGCTTCTCACTGCGATGAACTAAGCTCAGCTCCCACGGATTGAAGGAAGCTGAGGAAACAAAGCTGCCTGTCAACACAGGCTGAGCAGCCCGAGAGAAATGTGTTACAAAAACCAAAACCCAACATCCCTCACTGAAAAAGTTATTCCCTTCTGGGTTTGACTGGAGCATTCTGGATAACCTCTGTTACCGTGGCAGACTGAAGCAGAGTGAACTCCGCAAGATTGCCACAGGTCTGCGATACTTGGAAGACCTTGACCAAAATACTCAAAGGTAATTGCAAATGAACAGGACAACAAACGTTCCAAATGTTCCGGACAACGCAGGCTCTACATACGCTCCTCCCTCCCTCACCTGAGATCTGCGCAGATGAACGTACAGACTTTTTATTTAACAGACCAGGTGAATTTATCATTCAGGCCAGCAGTCAGGTATTCCTTCTGATGTTTTGCAGTCATAAGCAGCCAAGTGAGGCAGGTTCTTTGCCAGCGGTCCCCGACCTCTTTCCACTCAGCAGTTGCTCCGAAAGCATTTCCCGTTTCCCAAAGCAGTGGTGTAGTTAAGCTGGGGCTATACACAGGGAGATGGGCCTGCTGATCACTCCCCACTATCTGGTATCTGCCCTCTCTTCCTTCCTGAAGGGTATTGTATTTTCTGGCCCCTACCCTGCTGCCAGTTTTTGTGAACACAATTGTCCCATGTTAACAAACTTGAAGTTGCCCGGTGGGTTCAGAAATTATTAGAGAAGACAAAGATTGTGTGAATGCAGTATAAATATTAAAAAAAAAAAAAAAAATCTACAGACCGTTTCCTTCAGTCAAGCCTTGCATGTGGCCTACATACAGCCCACATATTTCATAGAAGAAATTCCAGTACTTCTGTTTCCCTTCAATTAAGTGTGAGTTGTTACACCCAACAGCTGCAGTGACGTTTCCTCCACTTCCTCCATAACAGTATCTTAAAGCTTCAACATCTTTACCAATAAATAAACCTTATTAATTAGCAGTCCTCAGGAACCTGACACAACTGTTTCAAGACTGCCTATAATCTCAGTGGGGCGTCAGCACCTTCTAGGGTCTGCTCAAAGCTTTGCATTTAGACCACTCACCTCAACGGAACAGCAAAACTGCATGCGGATGATACAGAATATAATAAGCAGCTGTAATTGGATTAGTAACCCATTAGCACAAATCTAAAATCCCAATGGTTATTACTGGGAGTAAAGGGAGGGGGTTACCATTCTTCCTATTAGTACAGGAATCAAACCCTGCCACCAAGAAACAGAAAGCTATTTCCACAGACGAGTGAGTTAGTGTTCTGGTTTCCGCAGGCAGCACTCACCAGCGAGGGAGCTATTTACTAGCTCCCCGTCGAAGCACGTCTGTCCCACGTGTTAGCCCTGGAGCAAGCAGCGCAGGCAGGCGCTGCAGCTCCCGCCGTCGGACCCCGGCGACCAAAGCAATCAGATTGGTCTGAGCTGGTTTAATGCCGGCGTGGGCACTGTGGTTCCCCATATGAAAATGAACACTCATTAGGTTTTTCGCACCCCGTTTTCGACTAGAGTTTTGTTCTTAAACCAGAGAAGCCGTAGTTTCTTCCTTTTCACCCTTCCTGCTCAGAGGTTGCCTAGCAAAATCCCACAGACTATTTCAAGAATTCCAGAGAGCAAATTCCCACAGACTATTTCAAGAATTCCAGAGGACACTGCTTTTGCTGGAGTCTTCCTTTGTATCTCAAGCACTTCCCTTTTTTTTTTTTCTACATAGCCTGCCCATACTCCCACGCAGACCTGCCTATGGAAAAAAGGGCCCCCCGGTCCCCCTCCTCCCTGCCAGACTCTCCCCCAGGCCCCATCTCACTCATCTTTGCTGGGCACTGGGGAAAAGTAGTTTGCCGTATTGTGGGTCATGACCAAACAGTGATACTAGAAGCCTTTCCATATGGGAACTGTGAGCCCTGGCAGCACATCCAGTTGCTTTCGAGGTGGGTGAGCATGGGTAAAAAAGGGCCCCCCGGTCCCCCTCCTCCCTGCCAGACTCTCCCCCAGGCCCCATCTCACTCATCTTTGCTGGGCACTGGGGAAAAGTAGTTTGCCGTATTGTGGGTCATGACCAAACAGTGATACTAGAAGCCTTTCCATATGGGAACTGTGAGCCCTGGCAGCACATCCAGTTGCTTTCGAGGTGGGTGAGCATGGGTGGCCAGGGAGTCAGCTAAACCAACAGTAAACAGCAGCTGGCCTGGGACCTTTCTTCGGCACAGTGAAACTGCTCAGGAAGCTTCTCCCTCCTCATGCAAATTTGTCACTCTCATCTCCCGTTACCTGCTGGCTTGCAGAGCTGTGCTTGATGGGGATGCAGGAACGGCCAGCAATGCCCTCGCCGAAGCCTTCTCACAGAATTTAGGTCTGGGCTTGGCACAGCACTGGCTGAATTTGTGAAGAACAGCAATGACCCCTCGTGGCCAGCGAGAAAGACACCAGGGCCTTTAGTGTCCCCCCCATCAACAAAGATCGATAACCAAACCTTCCCAGCCGGTGGTCATGTTCTCAGGCTTAAAACCAGAAGTGCCAGGTATTTGGGAGCATGGGAACTGGATGAATCACACACTCTTCCCCATTTAACACATCCCCAAAGCCAAAATAATAAGGAGTGCTGCAGCGAGCAGGAGGAATCGGAAAGCCCAGAGCTGAAGCAGTCCAGATCTTGAGCTCATTGTTTTGCAGGTTGTATACTCATTTACTGAGCATAAATAACCAAGAAAAGGTTCAGAGCAGGGAAAGAAGGCTAGTGTGAGAAGCCTGGAAACAGACCACAGTTTTGAAGACTGCTACGGAGGGGGAAAAAAAAGAACAAGGGGGGAAAAAAAAAAAAAGAGAGGAAAAGGGAAAAACCAAAAGTAGCAAGTCAGCTGTGCAGCCCACACAGCCTGCTGCAGAGGCACCCGCACCCTTTTCCCCAGGTCTGTGTTAGGAGAACCTGTCGCTGTCACACCTTGCTGGTCTGACAGCTCACCCTTGGTACCCAAGGGCACAATCCAACTCTAAATTAACTCCCTCCAGAGCACACTTCCTCGGCACATTTCCACCACATTACCAACAGCACTTTCCAGAGCCACACAACCCGCCCAGCCCCTTTCTGACCTGTGAGATGCCTGAAGACAGAGAAGCATTTTGCGTTCCTGTACCAGTTCAGCAGAACCATTTCCAGACATCAAATTTCTCTGGGTGGAAGTGAAGTACAGTCTCTTCACCCCTTTGCCCTGTAACTGTCAGAGTTAAGTGACAGAGATGCCCAGAGATATACTGGATCAAATAAAGTCCTGTTTTACAAAGGCACACAGGCAGAAGTTGGAGTTGTGCAGCGGCTGAATGATTACCCATGTCCTTGCTTGTCCTTAGCCACTGAGCTCCGTGACGCTCTAGCACTGGGGCAGCGGCGCTGGTGGCAAACATCCAGCCTCTGCAATGTGGCAGGGCAGTGGGACAGAGCTGCCGGGGAGGGAAATGCCGCAAACGTGATCCGCAGCTGCCACCTAGTGCGGACTCTGCACCGCAGGCAGGGCAGCCTCAGCTGGATGAGACGCAACGACGGCTATTTCTAGTTCCCAGGAAAAGATCGAGCCAAGAATTTTCCCTGTTGCCCGGAGAATTTGCAACGTTAGAATTAGATTCAGGGACAATTAGGGCAGACATTGTGCTTTTTCGTTCTTTTTAAGAAATACAGCACCATGGTGCAAGCAGCTGTTACACAATACAAAATACAACATATACACACAATACATACATAATACAAATATGCATTGTATTTGTATAATATATCAGATATCTGAGAGGATTCCAGCGCAGCATCCCCACCTCAAACCACTGGATCTTCACCACTATCAGAATGGGCTCCCTGTCATCCCCCGACTCACCTCTCCACGGGACCCTGCAATGTTGAGGGCACCACCAGGCCGTCTACTCACAGAGGAACTCTGCACAGAAGAGTTCTCTGCTGAAGAGGAAGGTCAAGTCCTGCTTGAATGGGATGAGAAGCAACAGCTGAAGAGGAGAGAACAGGACATTGCAACCATTCTGTGTCCTGCCACAAGGCAACCTGAGCCAACCACAGCTCTCAAGCTAGACTCACTTCATTCTGGAGGAAGACAAGCTAATGCACACACTGTATCTGTTTCAAAATATTTACTGAAGTGTAAAATATTTAATAGAAAACGATACTGGAGCCTCCTCAGAGGAGTAGCTCACCACATCAGACATTGAAAGAGAAGGACCAGCAGGATGCACAGAGACTAAGAAGGCACCACCCACCCACAGGTCCTGGCTCACGTGGACAGCCACATCCACTCTCATACCCTTGAGACACAGAAGCCATGAACAGGCAGACCCAAAATGTGGTTAGCAAGGGCATGGATACTCCTGTCCTCTAAAGACTTGTAGCTGTGATCTGTGGATACTCCTGTCCTCCCTCTAAAGACTTGTAGCTGTGATCTGCAGTCTTAAAGAGAGCGACCGAGAGCTCTCAGTCAGATGACAGGCTGGCAGATCTGTATCACAGGAAAGGAAAATCAAAACCATTTGGGGAGAAAGAAACATCACAAAAACACATTCCTTCCTCTCTCTCATTCTGCACAAAGTTCAGGGGCACTAAACACAGCAACAAGTGTTATGAGACAAGTCCCAGTTGCATCTGCATCTTCATAAGGGTCAGATACCAATTTTTCAGGCTGCGGCACTAAAAGGCCATTGTACTTAAGCACTATTTAGTACTATTGTATTAAAAGGGCTTGGGAGGTATCCTAGGAGTTAAAATAAGGAATTTTGGTGATTTCTGAAGTGTGGAACAAATGCTGGAAACTAGAACATTAAAAAAAAAAAAAAAAACGAACGACAACAACCCATACAGAGAATCAAAAGCCGCCATGCTGGGACTTCAAATGTCCCTATCCCTCCAGGTTCAGCAACCTCTGTCGGGTTTCCAGAACGATCTCCTCCATCACCTCTGGATTGAGAATGTTCTTGATCTGGAGTGGAAAGAAGAGCAACATTGGCACCAAAAAGCAACTACTACTATTGCACACTGTGGGAACAAGTGTCCCTGGCACACAGCAACAAGCAGCAAGTGGGTTTAGAGGGTTGTGGTCAAGACTATCACGGCAGAGGGTCCAAGGCAAAGTCAACGTGGCCAGTTAGCAATTCTTACAGAGACCCTAAGAAATCCCAGGAGATGCTACTGACAATGCCTAAACTCTTCCGAAGGGGACACAGTAGTATTTGGGAAGGGGAGAGATGACTCAAACAGAACCATAGTTCAAAAGAACATCCCATCTAGCTGAGTAGGCTGCCACTGTGAATGAAAGCAGAAGACAACTCAGATCTTATGCGATTCTGAGAAGAGAATTGACAGTGACTGTGCTGGCAGAAATCACAAAGAAAAGCTGTACAGGAAGAGCTCAAATGGAGGGAGCCTTCCAGCGATGCAGGACGTGGAGACAGCCAGAAGACTGGTCTCTGTACAACACGTGACACTTGCTTTTTCATTTGTTTTTAAAGTGCACTGCACCCTCGCACAATCCCAAATTTAACACTGTTTTCAGAGGGATCTGAGAGGGTCCGTAATCCCAGCAAGGGATACGCCTCTTATCAAAAAAATTGAACTATTTCTCTATAGGAACAGTTGGGCTTTGCCAGAGGCAGATCCCTTCAAACTACCCCAAAAATGTGCACAGCAATTTATGGTAGGCAGAAGGGAGGAAGTTCTTACTGTCCCTTACTACAGGATGCTTTGGAAAGCCGAAAGGAAGCCCTACCACCTAACTTACTGACTTCAGCAGCAACTGATGCAGCCTTTCCATTCCCTCCCCACAGCATGGAATAAAGGCAGCACCGCCGGTCTCTGTACCTGATGAGGAAGGGATGCTTCATAGCAATACAGGATGCTGGTGTCAAAGAGCATCAACTTCTGCGTAACCAGAGCCACAATGCAGTTTCGGAGCCGTGAGATCACCTCCCGGTCAGACAAGGGAACTGGCTGAGCAAGGACAGAGCAAAAGTGACGAATACATGGGGAAATAATGCAAACCTACCGGCAAAAATCTAATACCAAAAAGTCCCAGGTTATTCATGCGCCTTTATGTCAGACTAACAAAACACTATTGGTAGGAGAAGGTTTGTGTTCCCTGAACCCTCACCTTCAAGTTGGTGGTGAAGCCCCCTGCCTCTTTACCCTTCTGTTCCAGCCTTGGGTAGATCCAGATGAAACCATTGTTGCCAAGGATCACAGATGCACCACAGGGCAAGTCATGGAAGTGAGTCTTCTGGCGTTTCACAAGGGAGGGCGAGACCTGAACAAGCACACCCTGGCCGAGCTGAAGATGAGACCAAGAGAGTCGGCACGAGAGACACAAGCCACCACAGATAACATCGAGTCACTGACACGCACTCTGCTCCTGGTCTGGGAACCAGGCAATTTTAACACCTTTTCCTGTGAAACAGAGAATGGAAAACCTGCCTGCCTCTGGGAGTGCTGGGAAGATTAGCTAATGCCTGCGCAGCCCTTTGAAGATGAAGAATAATCTAAGTGCTTAGCACAAATGTTAATAATATCTTGATCGTAACTACACATCAGCCATCCCTGCAGAAAAACGAGAAGCGAGAGGCCCAATTTAGCAGAACACTTTCCCTCTTAATCCAATCGCTGTCCTTCACCCTTTGTGCAGGGACCACACTTGGCTTTCATCTTTTAAGTGCTAATACCCTTGGTCTGGTAATCCCAAACTGCAGCCTACGATCCAATGGCCCCTTGGCTTATTCCAATGCACAAACCCAGAGATAAATGCCAACTGCCTAAAGCCTAAAATAGAGCCCTGGAGAGAGAAAGGAGGCACAAGGGCAATGGCCAGCAGAAGAGGAGCGATAAAGTTGGAGTTAGAAGATTTTTCTCCCCAGGGTTTAATTGTCAAGCAGCTAGTGGGGGAAAGGGGACTCGCAGGCTGTAACTGTGGACAGAGAGAGCAGCAGCTCGAAGGGCAACTCAAGGGCACACCCTCTGCTTTCGGGAAACTCTGCTTGGTGCTCCCAAAGAGGAGCTAAGATTCTTCCTAACCTGCAGCAATAGGCTATAACAACATCCTGCTCTATTCCAGAGTTGGTTTTGGTTTGGGTTTTTTTTCCTTACAAATCCCTCCAAAAAGCCTTATACAAGTCAACTGGAGCAGAATTAGGTCAAGACCGAGTGCTTTTGAACAACTTACCTTCCCGTATTTCAGACTCCGGGTGTGCAGTGATAGAGCCCCATCAGAAAATATAGACTGGACCTCTGCCTGTCAGTGCCACTTAAGGAAACAAGGTCCCTACTGCTGCCCAGTGCCAGCAGCCACTGGCTGTCCCCAGCAGAGAGCTCTCGCTGCCAGCCAGGCTAGCCGAGGTCTGGCTGTTCTCCCTGTGCCCCTCTGTCCTTCCATATGAGTACACACAGTGGAAGGATACACTGATGAGGTCCCCTTCCTGCAGATAGTCCCTCATCGCAAACTCATCTTCTGCTGATCTCCTTCTCTGAAATGCACAATGCAAGTAAAGTCACATGGAGCTTGGGATGGGAAAACACCAGTTAATACCTACACGCTGCAGGGGGACCTCAGGATGCTATGGAAAATGCAAGCTGGCTGCCAAAGGGAAACCAGGCAGCCTAGTACACTTGGAGATCGCTGAAATGTTTATGTCCAAATAACACTGAGATCAAAGACATCGCAGCACTACACACACAACCCCCAACGCTACCCTTGCGCTAACTGTGGGAAGGGCTCCAGAGCTTCCCAAGTGCTATGGAAGCAGAAGACAGGGCTCTGGCGCTGCTCTGCGTGAGCTACACTCACCAGCTCCCCACCAGGCAAATTCACAGATGACAGCAACAAGACTGAATCCAGCCTGGCATTGGTTTCCACTTTCCATCGCTTCTGCTGACCCTGGAGAAGAAAAGTCTCCTGTGGGTATAGGCTCAAAAAGTGAACAGCGGCTGTTCATTAGAGCAGGAGGGTCTGCAGCCAGCTAGGCCCGCAGGAAACGTGCATTTAGGAACGTCAGGATGGGACTGAGACACGACAGCCCGGCGGGCAGCCGGCCAGCGGGCCACCCTCCTCCTCCATGGCACGTCAAGCTTTACCTCCGTGATCCTCCCGACCACGATATCGCCGACTTCCCCGTGGTACCTGGGGGCATGGAGAGCAGCGGGTCAAACACCTTGGCTTCCCGGAACAC